AATAATAATAATAATAATAATAATAATAATGATAACAATAATCACCATCATTAGTGTTATTATTATAAAATTGTAATAAAACCAAAACAAACAATTCAATAAATATAGATAGTAACAGAAATAAATAATAAGATATATATAAACTATAACAACAATAGAAAAAAAATAGAAACTATACAAGAGCGTTTGGAGATAAAATGACATGGTCAAATACTACTGATATTAATAACAATTAGTAGTAGTAGTAGTAGTAGTAGTAGTAGTATCATCACTGTTATTGTTATTATTGTTAATAATAATAATAATAATAATAATTATTATTATTATTATTATTATTATTATTATTATTATACCTACAAAAAATAAAATTGTTTTTGTAAAGTTTTTGCCGCTGGCTCGGAATGGTGACACAGACTTTTATTTTGTAAAGCTTAACCGGAAGTCTCGGTCTGTATAAAAGCTAGCTTGACTCTGCTGCTGTCAACATTGTAGCGGTGAAGCGTCCGAGCTGTCACAGAAAGTGTCGGTCCGTCTCGCTGCTTCAGCCCACAGTCATGCCATCCATCTCTAGACTTTACTCATCGAACACCCATCAATAATTAAGTTTCCGTTTAACGGACTTTCCCGGAGTTGAACTGGGCGGACATGTTTCTTTAAGCGGAGCCTGGTGGTCGTGAGGATTATCATTTCCTGACAGAATTTAACGGAGCCTCACTGTTGTTTGGCGTGGTGCTGTTTTTGTTCAACTGCGACAGACCTCACAACACAGCGAGGTAAGTTAAGGACACAGAGTAGAAACAGTTGCTCAACTCATGTCTGGTGTTGTGTTCGCCTGGTAACTTTGCTGTTGATATTTAAACAGTTAGTTTTCGTGTGTTGGTGCTCAGTGTGGATGTTCACTGTGTCTGCATGTCAGTTAATTAACTACCTGCTGCGGTGACAGATGACCGTTGAGTCGTTAATGAAGCTAAAGCTAGCTAGGTGAGCAACATTTCACACTGAGCTTACATTTATAACAAAATTATAAAGTATATTACATTATTGCAGTGCTGAAAAAATATGTATATGTTAAATTTAACATATATTGTTTATTTTACATTAACTGTTGCTAGTTAGCTGGGTTAGCTAAAACAAACTTTACTAAGTTAACTTAGCATTTAGCTAAGTGGGCTGCTAGCTTAAACTTTATTTAATGACTTATTATTCAATGTAAAAGTACAGTTATTCATCTGGGAAAAGTACTCAGTATTTTTATGAAACTGCTTATTAATTTAAACTTGTTATGTTGTAGTTTAAGCTGATACAACTGTCATGTAACCAACAGGGGTGTGTTTGAGGAATTTCTTAATTGATGCAACTTACAAAGATAAAGTAAAATAAACAAAGGTCTATTGTCTTTTTACAGTTTAGGGACTGTTCTTTATTTATCAGAGTATGGGGGTAGCTGGGCTGTGACTTTGTATTATTTTTATTTCATTTATTTTTGACCCTCCCCAAAGCCACAACTATTTTCCTTGAGCCTCCCTGAGTGACGTGACCCTCCCTCCACAATAGATTAGTTATAATAGATTTTTGAAACTTACCCTTTGATATTTTAAAGTTGAGGAAAAGCCTTACATTTTTACTCTTGTCATGCATGCTTGTTAGTTATCCCCTTAAGATGCACCACAGAGTGCCACAGGAAGTTATTCCTGCATGTGGCCATAAACCTGAACAACTCCTCCTTCAGAGTGTCAGTTGCTCTGAGTCAGTAGACTGGCATTTGGACTTTATTCACCTTCTGTATTCATAATTCATATGAGTGTATTGTGTGCAATTATTCTGCAGAGTAATATTTTTCAGTATACGACTTTATCATGCACACAATTGTACATATTTCTTATGTTTACTTTTATTCTTTTCTTGTTTATTCTACTGATGTATGTGTTTATAAAGTTCACACTGACAGCCTCAACACAGTGACGATATATATTTTATTTTAAATATTTTTATATCTGTAGTACTTGTGTTAAACACTGTAGCATAATGCACATTCTATTTTTTTATTTATTTTATTCTATTTCATTGCTTTATATTTACATACTCTTACTTCATACTATAAATCTTACTCCTTATAATTCTCTATTCTTTACATCAGAGCGACTGTAACGAATCACATTTTCCCCTCAGGGATCAATAAAGTAGTTCTGATTCTGATTAGTGCAAACGGTTTATTTTTGGCCAAATTTTTAATGACACATCAAAGTGATTTATTAAATGTCACTATTTTAAGCTCAGATGAATTATTATTATTTTATTTTAAATTTATTAATTTATTTCTAGAAATATTCGTGGCACATGATGTGTCCCAAGGACCGTCGGAGAAAAAAAAATTCTGTCTTTACAGTTTCTTGATGTGATAAATGGATTTGGACATTTAATGAAAACATGCACGTTCTCTTTAAAAATTGGTGATAAAATAAATATAAAACACAACCATTTAAATTTGTGTACCCCTCCCTTAGGCCAAAATAGAAAACAAAAGTCTCTTCCCAGTGCGTGAAAAATTATATGAAATGCCTCCCCCTCTTTGCACCACCCCTCCCTCCTAATAAGTAATGCACAGTCCCTTAGCTGTATGTGGATCTCAAAGGGCATCCAGGGACCACCAGGGGTCATTGAGGGGTTTCAGGTTCAAAGCTAAACTAAGATGAGAGTTTTGTTTTAAAGTTTAAGGCTTTACATTTGCAGCACAGTGAGTTTTGGAAAGTCAATATTTAATCGCAAAAGCTCATTTGGACTGGGCTTTTTTTTTTTTTGTCTAAATCATACCATATGCATTTGATTAGCCTTTGGGTTTAGCAACTTTTATTTTTTTATTTGTTTATTTCATTTAAACAACATTAGCATAAATTTTGCCCTTTGATTTGTTCTACCAGAGCTACTTTAAAGAAACAATTTCATCTGCAGTCCCTTGGCAGGTCTGAACTTTGATTTGATTTGAAATTTCAGTTTATGTCGTTTCAACACAGGGCTTTGTGTTTAGGTGGCAGCAACTTTTAATTGTTTACAATTGAACCATATTGTGATTCCATCATGATATCCTACAAAATTATAGAGATATTCTGACATACTGTTCTGTTGTCTCGTTTAAAGGTTAAAGAGTAAATATTAGTCAGAATCTCAGAATGAGATCTGAAAGAAATCTGGAGTTTATCATGCTCTATACTTAAGTTGTGAAGTGCCAGGAGAGCTGTATTCTTAAATTTACATATGTAAACTTTTATTGTTTTATCTTTAGTTTTATTAAGTTATATATAGCACTAGAACCACAATATTGCCGTGACAAATGGGTAACAGTTAGGTGAAGACTGTAAGATAAAATGAGTTTTGAGGTGGAACAGAGAACATGTTGATCCTCAGACAGCAGTAACTCAGCATATGCAGCACAGAAGAGAGACAGACTGAGACTGTAATGTAAGCATCAGGTTCACATTGATATAAACAGACCCAAGTAGGTAGCTGCTCAGTGAAAAGACTGTAGCTTGTGTTTCCCCCTCTCTACTTTACAAAGAGCTCGGGGTAATTTGTCTACATCCAGTCCACACAGATGACTCATCTGGTCTGTATGTCTTGAGTCATATTTCACTGGCACTGTCCTAAAGTTAGCCACAGTATCAAACCGTTTGCCAGTTTGGACTGATTCTCTGCATTCCTGTCGTTGCCCGCTCATTCTCACTGTATTTACTTTCTTTCTTCCCTCAGCCTTTCATTCCTGTGCTTCTTCTTTTCCTTTTTTCTGCATTTTCCACTCATTAAGAAAACCCCAACTCCCTTGCAGGCTTTTAAACCCACAACTGTGTTTTACACATTTTCCCTCCTGTGAGTTCAAACTCAAATTTCCAACACACATTCCCCCTCTTTCACATTTCCCCCTCTTTTGTCACTCTGTCTTTGTTGTGCTGCCCTTCTCTCTGTATCTTCCCCTCAATGCTCCCGTTGCCTTTGTCCCAGTCTGCTCTTTTCAGTTTTGCTTCTTTGTCTGTGCCCTGTGTCAGTGGTCAGGATACTGGACCAGTTACAGTGCCCCACCCTGCCCAGCCCTGAGCAAACACACCCACTACACCTCGATTTCTACTCTCTCAAATTTTGATCCTGTAAAAGATGCCTGTGTGTCGCCAACACAGGCTTGCTTGTATGTAGCACGTGTGTATTTGGTGTCTTTGTCGGCTGCTGTTGAGTCACTGGAGTGAGTCCAGCCTGCATTAAGCAGAGCTCACACACTCTCAAAAGAATCTCACTTGTGCTTGTTTGAACATTTATTTATTACCCATGAATTCTGTAGAGGGATCTGAGATGGCAAAGGGATGGCTGAGGCTGCTCACTGGTGTTCAGGAGACAGTTTCACTCTCGAGTTTCGCTTCTAATTCACTTCCTGTGGGCGAAGCACTGAAAAGCACCCAGAGCTTCATAGGACAAATTCATTAAGTTACTGCCAGATGTGATGTGCCTCTCTTCTGCTGTCCTTCTGTATGATCAAGGGTAATTCTTCCAAGAGAAACACTCCAGATGTCCAATAATTTAAATTGAATGTTAGCTGTGCTCTACAGTGCGTTACTCTGGATGAACAACAGCATCTCTTGTGTCTCTTATTCCCACAGGAACTGACACAGGTGTCACTCTATCTATTAGGGGATGTGACAGTCCCACTTCTTCATGACTTTTCCATGTACACATGGATGAATGATACCTCAAGGACATGTCGAGTAGTGCAATGAAAGAGGGTCCGAAGTAGAACAAACACACATGCTTTCCCTGCAGCCCTTCAGTGGAAGAATAACTCTTGAAATTGAAATTCCGAGGCTCTTTAAAATTTCCTGCAACCCATTCCAGGACCAAAAAGGGCTTTCTAAGTTTAGAGTATAAATGGGCAAATGTAAAATGTAATTCAGCTGAGATCAATGAGAGGCCAGAAACATGTAGGAGTGTGGGATGGGATCAGACATTTCTACAGCGTTTTAGTAAGAAAACTGGTCAAGGACGAGGGTGTGAAGAAGGGAATAATGAAAAGAGAAGGCATAGCTTTGTGCAGGGATGTCCTCTGCTGTAAGAAGGAGGGGGTTGGTATGTTCACGAGGGGGAAAAGTGCTGAGCTAGGCTGCACTGAGACGCCATTTAAAGTGGAAGGGAGGATTTGAAGGAATTAATGTACAAACTGCTCCTTTCTCCACACTCTTAGCTAAAGCCTCTCGGCCTCTCGGCCTCCCGGCGCGCCGTGAAGAAAGAAATGCTAATTGTGTGAAAGAGAGGCGTTTGTTTGCTCAGCACAGATACAGGCTGTTGTTGCTGTGGAGTCAAAATATTTGTGACCCTTGTTGCTGTTTTTGTGTTTATCAGAGGATGTGTTTAATGGTTTTAAGCATGTTCTAATTTTGAAAATAATACATTTTGTTTTCAGTTTTTTGAAATACTATCTTTGAGATCTGAGGTTTGTGGCTGATATCAGAGCTGAATATGGAAATTAAAAACTCTGTTGCTTTGGCTGCTGGCAATGTCTGTGACAAAAGGAATTTTAGATACTTGTGCTACCACCCTTATTGAAAAATCTCAGTGATATGAGCATGAGAGGCTGATATGCAAAACATAAATGCAGAAACTAATTTGAATAAAAAGCCTGGTGGTTGGATAGGCACGAGAGGGGGTGTTACCATAAGTGCCCACATCCAGGGGTGAGAAATGGCTGCTGCTTAAACGCTGTTCCAGTGCAGCATTGTTGTCCTGTAGTCTGACTACT